AGATGCACAGCACTCGGAGATCTAGCGGGGAGGCTAAATTCACAGTGCTGGCTGGAATCTCGAGAATTTCTCAATCAGAAAATGAAGTGAAATTCTAAGGTACGCTATTTGTGAACAATCATTTTAAAAGTTATATGTACAATTTTTTTGAGTTGCATTTAAGTTGCCTTCCGTGACTGTGTGTTGAGGAAGTACTTCTCGGAGTAGATTGTGGCAGAATTTCCATTGGTTTAGGAGCTTAAGATGAGTAAGACCTACAGCAAGGGCAATCAGCCAAAAGGCCAGGACATTTAGAAAAAGACAGGACCTCATTTATGGTAGAGATGTGTATTTTTATACGTAGTATATAGATTATTTAAATAGAGACTATCTTAAACTGAGATTCACTGAAAAAAAAATGTGCTGTATCTTGAATGTAAAACTACAATCATTTGCTACTGAAAAGAAGTATCAATGCTTTAAAAATCCGAACTATCTCGGTAACAGGAGAAGAGCTTCATCTGAAAGAAGCACGGCCTCATTTTCTGAAAGACACAGAAGTGTATTGATATTTTTGAGAGGTTGTTTCACGCTAAAAACATTTCTGTGTTACAATGTTGCACTGATGGTTTTTCTGTGCAGGTAGTACTTCTTCACTCAGCCTTGAGTATACGAAGTGATAAGCTACCCCTATTTATGCAAACATGTAAATTAGCTGAACTGCTTATGTGTCAGGGATTTCAAGACAAGGCAGTGAATGAACTCACTGTTTGAAAAAAAGTAAAATAAAACCAGTCGTTTGAACTGAAGGCTTTGCTTTTTGTAAGTATCAGATGCGTAATCTATTTTTTTAACTTAATTTTCCTTGCAGTCGCACTTTGTAGTTGCTCACCGAAGGGTGGCGGTGCGATGGCTGCAGTACAGGACACTTTGGGCATTGTAACTGAGCAGCTTTTCCTCGGAGACGCCGCCGTTCCATTGCAGCTCTGACCGTTTTGCATGTGTCCACGTGGGTGCGGACTGATGAGCCGGTTACTTACCGCGGAGCGGTTTCACCGCGGTGCTCCGCTGGCACCGGGCAGCACGGCAGGGGGAAGGTCAGAGGGCGCGCTGGGAGCTGCCGTCCTACTTTATCCGCCGTAACTCCTCCATCAGCCTGCGCTTTTAATGTACTTGTGCAAGGTCTCCTTTGGCTCCTGCTGCTTTCTGTGGCGTTCCCCGATATTTTTCAAACAACGTGGCACCCGCCTGTAACAGTTTTATGGAAACGTGGATTTTGCCTTTGAAAACGTCGCCGTTGTTGGAAGACGAGAAGTGCTGAGGAGCACAGGTGTAAGGCAAGGATCAGGACAATCGCCAGTTATTTTTGTAGAAGTTGCTGGGGAGGAGCTCAAGGTGTAGCCCAGCTCTGCCAGCTCGCTCTTTCTAACCGTGTTTTGCAGGCGTGCTGGTGATGGCACGGAGCATGTGCAGTAGGCAAATTGTATGTCAGGGTTTTCTGCCTTCTTCCGAAGCGTGATTACAGAGGACAACTCCAGTGTATCTCTTGTTTTCTGTAATGTTGCTGCCTGTTCATAACCCTGTATTTAAATTTCACTTTTGTCACTCTACACTGACACAATACAACTTGTAAACTACGTGACCTAGAAATAAAGAAGGAAAAGTTTAATGAAACTTTGCCATCGGAGTGGTCAGTAAGATGAGCTCTGGGGGGGCGTCTCCTCCCGGGAAGAGATGCACTTGTGGGTTTCTGTAGCTCAGGTGTTGCCCGCGTGTCAGTAATGGTACGCAGAAAGTTTATAAACTGGTGTTCAGGATTTGGGCAAGAGAAAACTTGTTTAAACTCAAACACCACTTTCTGAGCAAGAACTCTGAGAATATTTTTTTCTGTTGAGGATTTTATTAAGCTTATATCTCACAGATGGCCCAACCATGTGGGAAGTTTAGTTCTTTTCCTGATTGTTTTTTTATCTACCCATACAAGTGATGGATAGTGGCCTGTTTTGGTTAAATAACGTGCAGTTCTGTATTGCAGTTTGTCCTATAGTAAGACAATGTGCCTGTTTACAGATGGCAACGATTTAAAACCTGCTTTGTGTGCCCACCCTGCCAGCCCAGTGAAACTGATGAATTTCTCGCATCGCATGGCATTAGCTTAACCCCAAACATCACGTCCTTAATTACCCATATAACTGAGTGACAAACTGGGTGACAGCTGCACTCCCGCAATTGTAATTCGTTGCTATTTTCTCCCAATTTAAAAAATTCCGTATGTGATGTGCCACACACTGCTGATTATTTTTTTTCTCTGCCAACTCTTCTGTGCTCTTGGGCGAGAGGAGGGGGATGTTTGTGTGCCATAGCAACTGGAGTTGCCCATCTGCACATCCATAATTATGTCTTCTTTTGAGGCAGAAGACCACGTAATTAGTAAAAAGGAAAAATGGTCAAAATCAGACTTTTCAGGTCCTGCTTGTTTCTCTGCTTTGTTCTTGGCTGAGGGAATGGTGGGATGTTTTGCCTCCGAGTTTTCCTTGTGAGCTCGCTTTGGTCAGAGACCTTTATGAGAATTTCTGCAATCACAGTGTGGATTTCCCTACCTGCTAACTTGTCTTTCAGTATGTAATTTTTGGCTGGTTTCAGCCAAATTTACAAAGGAATTGTGTCCAATTAAAGTGTTGTTGTGAAAATAGGTAGGCCTGAGGTATATTAATAAGTATCCATGTCTGTTTTAATGGAAGTTAAGTTAGGCAGCAGAGGAATGCTGACGATGCTCAGTCTCATGGAACAAAAGCTGCAGGAGCCCAGGCTTTGCTGTCCCATTGTGCGTGGCTCACTGTCCTGTGGCAGTGAAGTTCCTGGTTTGCTTCCATTTGCTCATTATTTGAAGCCGGCAGCTGATTATTCATGGCAAGTGACAACAAGAAGAGTAAATCTCTTGGAGTGACCAGTTTGAGCGGTTTTTATCCCCGTGGTGTGTTTAGTCACAGCTGCCAGCCCGGCATGCAGTGACCCTGCCTGTCCCCACACCTCGCTTGATTAGATGGACAGCAGCAAAGAGACGACTGTCAAGACAGTCACTTTTACTCTCTGACCAGATTTGGGTCAATCTGATCAGGTTTTGGTTAACCTTAGGAATAAAGAACTAGAAAAATGCTGACACATGACAGCAGTTTGCCTGGTTCCATGAAAAAGAAAAAAAAAAATTACACTGGTAAAGAAAGAAGAAAAATCTTATTTTAAACCTTTTTTCTGTAGGAAAAATGGATAAGATAATACAAAAAGGTGAAAAAGCTGAATGATGAATTAGGTGGATACTCTGCATCCAAGCCTCGCTGGGTCTCTTTTGTCATGGTAAATAGAACTGTATCTTGATCTTTGCCTTAGATGAAAAATTATTTTTCAAACTTACTTTGTATGAAAATGACACCTAGAAAAGGGGTGATCTGATTTCAGGAATGTAAATAAAAGCCCTTCTTTTGCGAGCGCAGAATAACCTACTGCAGCAGAGAGCTAGAATGGTGATTGTACCCAACAACCCCCAGTGATCTAAAATAAAATTCAATTTCAGCCAAATGACGGGCGTGGCCCTCAATATAACTGCCATTAAAAAAAAATAATATCTTTTCACTGTTACAGATAACAATCGTAAAGGACAATGTAGAGACCTACCTGGTAAGGCTTTGCAGGTATTATTTTACAGCTCAGTGGTAATTTTTTGTGGGGATGCGGTCTGCTGCCCCTCACTGTGCTTCAGAGCAACACCACGTGCTGTTGCTTCTCCAGGCTTGTAGGCTGCTGTGGAGCTGCTGTTAATCTACGCTGCGTTATTTCTGCTTTCCATCACTACAAAAAGATCATCATTCACAGTCCTGGTCAGTCTCCAAGCACTACAGCTCCTGTATGTTGCTGGTTCACGGAGGGTGTTGAAGTCACTTGCTTTGGCCCTACGGAGGAAGGGTCACGGGCTTGGAATGGACAATCCCGTGGGACCTGCACCTGGCAAAAAGTTCTACAGATTTTCCTACCGACCTTGTAAGTCTGTCCTTCACCATGTCATACGCGGACAGAGGCGACACCATAGGGTAGGTGTGATTATTATATCCGTACTAACATTCAGGGGCAATAGCCAAGGAAAAGAGCAACTGCAGCAAGTTACCTGGCATGGGCTGTGAAGGTTTCCAGTTGGCTGAAGGAAGTGTGCTGAAATACTTCATTTCCCTTTGTTGGGGTGGCTCGGATTTGGCCATGGGGACTGCTGCTTGTCATGAGGGAGTAGGAGCTCATCCTGTTCTTGCATGGAGAGACGTGTATCATTGTTTGGGGTGGCGGGGGGGAACAGAAGGAAGGCTTTACTGCCTTGAAACAGGAATAGGTACGATACTATTGTGAGGTATTTTATTCCCTTTTGTTGTGAGCAAAGCCATAAGCCATTTCATACATCACACACAGGTAAGCCATTAACAAAGTGAGTAGCTAGACGAAGAAAAAGTAAAGGTAGAAGTGTTCCAGCTTCATTTCCCGAATCCCCCTCTGCCTAGCACTGTTTCCTTAAAGGCCCGTAACAGTGACAGACGTGGTTCCAGCATGTTGAACTTCTGTTAATGGAAGTTTTACATCACCCTTGTGATGAAGTGTTTCTCAAAACATAAGGAAAAGCATCTAAGCACAGTAGGCTTAGTGCTGCCAACCTTCTGAGCGGGCCACCAGCTCATCCAAAATACGTTGTTAGCGAACGTTAAACCCGAGTACATGCAATGGGTATTTCCACTGCTGGCTGTATCTGTCGCTCTCTGAATACTGAGCACTGCGGGGGAGAAGGAGACGCTGGAATTCCGACAAGAACCTGAAAGTCACGCTAGGACGTGTAGCAGGCAGGATGAAAACTTGGGGCTTCAGTAGAACCCCCGGCTTATCTATCGCAAGTTAGTTACCAAACCACTCTACAAATCAATCACAAACAGCTGCGGATCTCGTAGCGTACAGGTTTTCTTTCAAGTTGGTAAAACAAACAGCGGAGCGTCACCACAGCCTTTAATTTCTTCTTGCACATACCATTCACAGTACATTAACAGCCCAAATAATATTGCACTGGATTATTTTAAAAGTTTTTCATCTTGCAAGTAGTATTCACTTTTCAAAGCCAACAGATGAACAATTTGGTCAACTTGCACCAAGAAAATGGTTAGATAAGAATCTTATACTTTATTTATACCACATGGATTTGTAACCCCAAAGGGAAACGAGAATGAGCTGTAAACTGTTTCCTTGTTAAAGATAGAAAATTAGTAATTCCTTGCTGATTAAATGTAGAAAGACTGGGAAAAGAAAAAAAGGAAATCTGAAAGTTATTCCTGTTAGACTGCTTGCTGTATATATAATTATATTCTATACTGTGAAAGTCCATCTACATTTAAAAATCCAGCAGTCTACAGGTTAACACGGTAAAAAAAAATAATATATTTTTATGAAAAGAGAAGAAATAGGGTTTGCCTCAGAGGAGAGAGTTTTCAGATTGTGAAGTCGTCTTTTTTCTTTTTTTTTTCTTTTTTAGGTGCAATCTTTGAGGCAACAAAATGTCTTTTGGCATTTGGCACTCTAATAAGGACAATATTTTAATACTGGCACAAGCTAAAAACAGCACAGAATGACAAAGTACAAGACATGAAACGAACTGCAGCCACTGGGACGATGGTAAGCTACTTTGAACATATGGAGAACGTAAGCAGTTTTGCTGAGGAATTGTGAAAGTTTCTGCAAAACCATACTTATTATTTTTCTTTTCTTTTACCAAATTTTTAAGTTTTACTAAACTTGGAGGGAGAAAAGAGTTTCAAATGTCCTCTAGAAAATCGGCAGCTGCTGGACAATCAACACGGTGGCTCGTTCAGCCGTCAGTAGGCGTGAGGCTCTTTATGACTCAGAGCTCGAGTGCGTGAGGCAGAGCTGGTGGCACTTCGGATCACTTCCATCCATCTGTGAGGAGGGACGAGCAGAGGCACAAACAAAAGAACGGTCAGTTCCTAAGGAAAGATCTCCTGAAAGATACAGTCTGCGCCATTAGTTGCGCACAGTTTTATTTTCAGTGCCGACGGGAACGTCTTGCTCAGTATTTTACTCCTAAGCGTATCCTAAGTCAAGAGGCTCTAAATCCAAACGACTGCCAAACACGTGTATGAAAGGAGGTTTTGAGAGGATAAACGGGGGACGGGACTCAAAATTAATGAACTTAGTAGTGGTTTTACTTGTTCTGCAGACATCAAATCTCTCTTTTTGTTTGGATACTCCAAGTGATGAGCAGTTGAGACTCACCACTTTTAATTCTGGAGTGGAAAAACTTAAGTTAGCTGCAGCTCCTACTTCTTTTTCCTGGAACTGAGAAAGGGCTTTTGTGTTTTTTTCCTATGCTACTAATTTATTTAATCACCTCTTTGCCACAATTTGCCTTATTTATAGTTTTAGACTGTCATGGCTAAAACTTAATAATAGCTTTCTTCAATGAAGAGAGCACATGAAGATTTTTGACATGTTAATGCTTCATATAAAAGAGCTAACTTAGTTCCCAGTATGAACAACCTCAAACCACAATTTAGGAGGAATAGTGCCTGTTTCCTGGCTCTCCATCTATCTGAAATTCAGTGGGTGCTATAAAAATTACATGCTGAAGTGGCACAAATATATAGTAAGAACAGCCGCCTCTGTGAAAATTTGAGAATTTTATTTCAGGTGTGGATTTTCCATCCAGTTGTACTAGAGGGAGTGAAGTTATTCTGAAATGCTACTGAAAAGTCCTGTGATCTGTTTACATGCTTCCTGAAGCCTTAGACACAGAGCTCCCGGTGCAGCCAGCCGGATCAATTTTGACTGGATAATTCCTGTACATAACACAGGTTTTTAGTGATTACTAGTACAGCTACCACGTAATCAAAAACCAACTACTTGGTTCTAGCATTACCAGCTTTAAAATTTCTTATAAAATTTCTTAAATTTAATTTTTCCTTTAAAATTTTAAAGGGTTCTTTCTCTAGTTGCGCTGAACCACTTGCCTGTATTAACTGAATCAATTTACTAAACTTTGCATCTGCCTTGTTTGGAAAAAACCTCCTGGAATTCCAGAAACTTCCCTCTCACAGAAGACCAACTTACCTTTCAAACGTGTATTCGCTTTCAGCCCTGAAGTAGTACACGTGGGATTTGAAATGTAGCTTGAACACGTAATCTTTGTGAATGTTTTCAGATTCCGAAGGAATGGTAAGTGAATATCCCAATAAAGGAAGGCTGGCTAAAGGATGATTGTCCTGAAAAGGAACGATGGAAAATGCTGTGAGATCAAGTACCCTGAAGTAAAGAGAGCACATAAGTAAAATGGAGGATGGATACACACTCATTTAAAGGCTATCATCGTGTTCCTGCACGTGCATGGAAAAACACCAGCTTTATACAATGGCCATGAACTTGACCCTCTGGGAGTTTCAGCTTGCCCATCTTTGTACACCCTTCTCCTGTGAATCTGCTGCAGGCTGATCCCATCAGTATTTCCTCATAAGAAAGCTGCCTGAAATCTTGGGCATTCACTGCTTTCAAACTGACCGACACAAAGCTCCACCGTTTGGCATCAGCGGAGCACCATGCGTGTCCACCTTGGCTTGCGAACACCTACTCCTTTACAAACGTACCGGCCGCCTTGCAGCACTCTTGGCTTTAGTCCTTTCACTTCATGGCATGGTACGTGTGAACAAATAATTTCTTATTCCTGCTAACGTGTAGAATATCCTGCAGTTTATTCTTTTTTTTTTATTAGTGCAGAAACTCTCTGGTTAAGGATTTCTATAGCAATGAAAGCACTATGTAGCAATTGGCATTATTTTGTGCTCACGCCCTGCTCAAACACAGAGATTCAAAAGTCCAGCAGGTTCTAGACAGAAAACCCCCTACTTCTGCAGTGGGATGTTTGCTCAGGTGGATTAATCATTGGCCGCTGCGCTCTCGTTTGACTTCAGCGTCAGTGGTGGTGAACAAAGTTTCTAAGTCAGTATTAAGTTTTAAATTGTCATAATCTCAGAATCTGTGCAACGAAAAATATCGTTTCAACTCGCGCCACGACTTCTGAGCAGCAGTGATACCAGTTGTACTTTTAGGGATGACATGTGCTGTGACTGTTGGAAGTTTCAGGAAACAAGCACACGTTCTTCAACCGACAAGCGAGCAGACTGAGAACAGGCTCTGTTCCGCATTGTGGCAGTGTTAAAAAGCTGCGTAGCCGTAAGCAGTGCACTTGCTCCTCTTGCCTACAGCGTTCCCTGACTGATGTCCCCGTGTCTCTCTGCTGTCACTTCAAAAAACCCAAAAGGTCTTCTCCAGCCACACACGCTTGCGCAGTCTGTTACCTGGTGCGATTTATAGAAGAACATGCAGAAGTTGGTGAACACCACCCAAAGCTTCTGCCACCCGTTGCTGTTTTTGAATTTTCGTAGGAGATTTCCAGACAGCTGGTTCTGAAACAGATCAAAAGTAGCCAAATAAAACAGTGAAAGGTACCTGCAAGTTTAATTATCATAAGAAAAATTATCTGGTTTTATGTGACCTTGTTGTATGTGAAAACGTTTTGGTTGAACACATGTATTGTTCTTCTGCCTTCTTCTACTACTTAGTACTACTACTTAGTACTACTACTACTACTAAGTACATGTTACTTCATGTAACATATTTTTTTTGCTTGTAGCTGGGTACTTCCAAAAACTTCAAGCTACTACACTTACTGGGTTTTTGTTTTGGTTTTTTCTTTTTAAATTAAGGTGACTTTCAGTAATACATTACTAAACATCAGTCTTGTTAACCTAGTCTGTTCTTTTCAAGTGATACTTAAACAGAATAATGGAAACAGAAAGTCTGACATGAATTTGTGATGCAAAGGAAAATCATGACATACTTTAGAATTGCAGATAGAGATTGAACTCTCAGTACCCAGTGAGTTCTCATGGTAACTTTTCAAAGATTTCAAAAGCAAGGACTGTTAACCTTATTCTTAGCTGGATTTTGGATATTTTAACAAAAAAGGAGGAGGAAGCTGTAACCAAGTACAAGTGTTTAACATCTGGCTGAAGAAACTACTTTTCACAGAGTGAAGACATAAAGTCCAGCATCATTGTGCCTTGCAAAGGAAGGGGAGTTCTCAGTAAATTACCAGTTACTTCCCATCCCTTGCTGACTGTAAGGGCTCTCTCCTGGATCAAAACAGCTGTTTACATCATTCTTGTTATATAATGCAGAAGCTAATCCTCAATCTGTAAAGCTTAATAGTCAAAGTCTGGTGGTCCTGATATATCTTACTACCAATGAAATATTCTTGAAAAATGTTCCATTTTCACCAGTCTTGGATATACATGAAAGCCTTTGCTTTAAATCATCCCATTCTCTGATATCTGGGCTGCTGCCTCCTTGCCCTAAGTTACAGGCGTACTCCTTAATTTTCTGTTACCTCATTACTCTGGAGGATATCATAAAAGGACAGGCTTTGCATTCGGTACCAGCAGACATATGAAATGGAAACAGGCCGCTGATCACTGATCAGTCCAGCAGGTAGGGAAGTACAGTCACTGACAGAGAGAGGATCTTCTACCACGAGAGAGACAGAAAGGAGGGAGAGACACAAAGAAAATAAACGATAATGCTGAAGTGAGAGCCAACAACAGAACGATGTGAGCATGAGCGTAACCTGCCACGCATGGAACAGCAGTGGAGCTGAAGATGTTTTCACAGAACAACGTATGTCTTCAGGGTGTGTTTGGTCTTCGCTGCAATGAGCTCTCATCTCAGAACAAAAGATTTGCCTAACTAAATGTTTTAATTGTTAGAATTAATCACTGGTTTAAGTTTTGTATCTGTTTTATAATAAGCCCTCTGCTTTAGGGAAGAATATGAGAGCTTGTCCCATGCTGAACTATTCGTCCTTTGCAGGACATAAGGGTATAAAGAGCAGAAAATCCACCTGCACGGGATTGAAATGAAGCTCTACAGTCAGCGTTTTCTAGTACAGAATAATTTTCTTTGCCATATTTCCCCAACCAACTCGCCTTCTGTTTAAAAACGAGGTGGTTACACAAAACTATCAATACTGTCTGTTCTTGCACCTCTGCGTTCTGCATCAGCACGTCTTCTCTAGAGCAACGGTGGCCTGATGTCTGAGGGCTGCCTCGTGACTGCAGGTTGACTCAGCTTTCAGATTCCCTTTACCGTTTTCATTGAGCATAAATTTCCATTTGATGAGGACTGTGATAACGTACTCGGAGCTCCCTGGAGCCTCTCTTGGGTGATGGAAGAACACCTAAGCAGGCTTACCACCTCATCCTAAAACCTACACTGAACTAGGAGTCTTTCATTTTAATCTTTGAAAAGCCAGTGTCTGCATCTCGTCTGCCGAGTACAGAATTAACGAACGTGTATCGAATTGACTTAGCTGTGATCGGGGGGTTGGGAAAAGGATTTTTATTTTGAGGTGGAAAATGCAAATAAAGAAAAAGCAGATGAGACTGAGCAATGAGACAAGGTTCCAGAAAAGATGGCTAGGTAAAGAAAGTACGTTAGTAATACACGTAATTAAAACTCTGGCTGCAGCAGCTAAAGACAATATCCTTTCAGCTCGAGCAATGACTTAATGCCTCCGTAACCGAAAGCATTAAGACAGTTTGACCTGCTTCGAATTTTAAAGGGCATCGGCATTTTTTTCGGACAGTTAATTCTGTGAAAATTACTGCTCTAACTGATTTTATTTACAAAGATGCACTAAGGGAGCGGATACGTGTGTCTTGACTGATGGTTTATGCCATCATCTGAGGATACAGGAGTCAGTTTAATATGTGTGCCTGAAACTTCCCCAGAAGGAGACAACGGAATAGTGCACTTATTAAGGAGGAGCAAAAAGGAAATTGTCATTCAAGAGCGAGTCTGGAGCTGCAGTTCAGATTGTTCTGAGGCAGATACCTCCACAGCAATACTAAAGTCGATCATTGAAACACTGGTATTTCTGTGCCAGCAGACGTGCACCGTAGTGTTGCCACGGTGTGGTGACTGACGTTCGAGTGAGGTGCGGGATGCACTGAGGTCGTCCTCAGATTCCTGGTCTACAGTAGTTTCATCAGGAGACTCTATGAAATGCAGGGAAAAAGCATCTTTCTTCCTCTATGCAACAACATATATAATTGGAAAAATTAAACAAATCAATTCTGTCCACAATATTGTGAACTAATTTTAAAACACACTTTTTCGAAACAATTTTGTGCAGATGTTAAGTAGATTTATTTATTTTTTTTTTAAATGTGTTTCTGCAAGTGTTAGAATCAAAGACTAACTACCATGCTTTGTTGGTGCTTTTAATACCTTCCAAGGATAGGCACTGCTCAAATCTTGTTAAATACTTCCTGGAATCATTATGCTTAAGTCACTTCTCTATTCAGTGAAACTTTCTGCTAACATCAACAAGAACATTAAAATGGTACACATATAAATATATATATATAAATCAAATGTATCAGTTTGACCTGTGGTCAGCATTTTTCACCACTTTGCTTAGAAGCAATCACCAGTCATACTGACTACAGTGAATAAAACCTACTCTCTAGCAGTTACTTACTATTGTCAGGTGGGCTGCTCGCCAGTAACTCTGGGGCAGGGCCACTGCTTTTCTCTGCCAGGTCTATCGCCATCTGAATGTCCTCAGTCCATTTGTCCATTTCAGCGCGGGTACTAACAATGAAAATTCAGGGTTTATTCACTTTCATACAGGCTGAAAGCAAACTCTAAGAAACAGTCACAAGCTGAGCTTACTTTTAATTTAAATAAATAAATAGAAGATGCTAGGGTTTTTTTCTAACTACTTAGTTTTGGTTCTGACTTGTACAATTGCCACTCTATTTTGTCCCATTCACCTCCCCCCCACCCCCAACTGGCTTTCATAAAAGAATACACCTTTGAAATTGTTGTAGGAGCAAATCCAAACAAAATGATGCCTCTCTGCTTCTCTGTCTGTCCCACTGTGAAAGCTGCAGAGAAATACAGTTTCCATGTGTATATTGTCTCCATCAAATTACCTTGCAGCAACAACGATGGACTGGTGTTGACCTCGTAGTGTTAGACAATGAGGAACCCCCCATTCCTCTTCACTTTCTTCTATCTGAGAGAGAAAAGCCCAAATGCAGTCAGATTGCAGAAAATACACATTTCTTAAGATGAAACAGTGAACTGAACAAGCCCTTACCACTGGGGAAAAGAAAACTAAGAGAAATGTTCACAAATAACAATTTCAAGCTAGGTATTGGAAAAAAAATGGTGGCTTACAAGTTGGAAAAACACTAAGTTTGTTCAATAACTGCTAAAACCAAAAGCATGGCTTTGCCTGCTCTGCTTTGTGACCAAAAAAAAAAAAAAAAAAGGAAAACTGGTATTTTTATTAGAAGAGCGATTCATCACACCAAAGGATCTGTTAAAGGCTGGGAGTGCTCTGGACATTGCAGTGCAACACAGTTCTGTTGTGAACAAGTCCACGCCAAATTGACATCAATAATTGAGAAGGTTCCTAGAAACACTAGATAAAACTTGAAGCTTCACAGGTGTTTAGAGAAATTCAGATATTGTGACAGTGATTATCTAACTCAATACAGAATAGATACAAACCCACAAGAAGTTCCAATGAAAATAATGGGCGGAATGAAAGTGTTTTGAAATTCGCAAAAATATTTTCAAAACCATCTAAGAAGAGGAGGTAACTAGGTGCTATCGGTTCGAATTGGCTGTTTTCCAGAAGAACTGCAACAAGAGCTCCAAATGACATGTTGCTGCCAGTTTCCCACTACTTTGGCTTTCAGGTACAGTGTTGAAAACTTTAGGAAATTTTTTTTACAGAAATTAGATTGTCGCTACTGTTTACTTGCCTTGCACAGCGTGTCTATAAGCAACTGGTGATGAATTACTTGTAAGAATCGTGGTTAAATTTATGGTTGAAAAAAAATAAAGAACCTATCTCACAAGAAGTTTGCATTATGAGGAAGCTGCCCCCCCCAATGCCTTTTTGTCCCCCTCACTTTTGCTGTATAATCACCTTTTTGTAGAAGGCTGCACGAACACATGCCGAACCCAACACAGCCTCACCAGGCACTGCAGAACGTAACCACGACTTCTCTGAACCAAAGAAGAGCCCTCTGCTGCTGCTGCTGCTTTCAATCCAGCAGAAATTAATCCAGCAATTAAGATGGGACCACAAATGGCCCTTTAAGCATGAATCCCTTAAGTTCTCACAATACTTACTGTCATGCCGTACAGCGGAAGATGCCCATGAACTTTAAACTGATTTGATGCTGTCAGGCCTCTACTTGTGTACAACAAAATATCGTTAAACTAAAAAACAAGAATAAGCATTATTAGGATGATGTCAGCATGTAGAAAAAAAAAATCAGAATGGTAAATACGGGAAAGCTAGCCAGTACTGGCTGACTACTTATACGGCAGTCCTAATACATGAATCCAAAATAACGGCTTCCACAATATTCCAGTACCTAGTATTAGCAATTGTTATTTTCCCTGCCTTCCTTCCCAGCTAGATGCAGACATGTTCCCACAATTTTCCACTGGATATTTTCCAATGACTTCTAATATTCCTTTTACGATCTCTGGGTCAGAACTAACAAGCCACAACAGCAGTGAAACCAAGTAGTATGTTTCACACTCTGCCACACTTTGAAGCTCTGGAAGGTAAGTGTGTTTCACCAATACGTTCTTCTGATTGGCGTGGGGAGATGAGGAAGCACGCCCGAGAGAGGCGTGTCCAACTCCACTCTTCCGAAGTAAGTGGCTATCTATTACTCTCCATATTCATAAGGAAGCTGGGAGACCTGGTTTAAGGTAGGTGACTTTAGGTTAGAAACATCAAGGTGAAGAGACTGAGTATCTCAATGTTTGAGGCTTCCTGCATGTAACAGCAGTTGTCAAAAGCAGGTCCAACGACTGCCTGCATTTTGTTGAGTGCATTAATACAAATGGCATGTTTTCCCTGTGCCACCTGGGTCAAAGGATGTTTTTCCTCAAACCGGACAGTTGCATCAAGAAAATCATACTCTGTGGTGTGTAGAGAGAGAGCTTTCCCAAAGACATCTACAGCCTAACAGCAATAATTGACGAAGCTCTGTGGATCGGCCACTAGAGGGGGATTTAATTTTGCCAATGATTACACGTGTATTCGGAGTCCCAGAATAGCAACTTGGGATTTCACCTCCAAAAAGGTTCTGTTGCTCGCGACAGACCAAAGACTCCTTTGACAGTGCAAGCAACTGACTTGAGAGTCTAGTCTCAATTTATCAATGTTTTATAAAGGTATAATACCGAGGTATCATCTTGGAACAAGAACTGTGGTATGCAAAAAATTCATTAGTCTTCCTCTTTAGTGCCTTTAAAGGCAGAGGATAATCCTAGCCAGGTAGATTTAGAGGATTTATTTCTGGCTCATTTGAAAGATTAAATGTCAAACATCTTGTAAAATCTAGTACACTCGCAAGCTTTTCTACACACCCACTGTCTTCACCTTTTGCATACAAGAAGCCAAGGAAGTATTTTCCTGCCACGCTGCACTGACTCTTTAAATGTTCTGCCCCATAAGACCAGACTAGGAAATCTATGCACTCTGTTGGGCACTCCAGTGCCCCGGCACCGAGGGCTGAGCAGCAGCAGGATGGGGGCCCGGGAGCAAGTCAGCTGGCCAGGAAGAGAAGAGAGGAGAAACCATCTGGTCAGCTCTTGTGGATCAGAGACTGAGTGAGATGGCTGCAACCTGAAAATGCTGTGAGTGATGGGAGGAGGGGATAACCTTTCCTCATGCAAGAGCTACAAAACGTATCTCCAGGTGGAGGCAAATCCAACAACATGCTGGGCACTCATGGGCTGAAACTGGATGGTTTGTGGAGAAACTTGGTTCTGTAACTTGTCCTGAGAGCATTATGTGGATTATCGTTCGTATCACCAAGAGTTACTCTATCTTTCTTTTCTGGACATGATCACTAACCCTGGTGCACATTTTCATTTTATAATGACTCTGCTTTTATTTAACACAATGTTGATGGGAGATATTATTTTATCATGATATTCACAGTGTAATATAAAAATAAGGAAGTTCTATCTTTGTAAGAAGCAGTTAGAAAGAGAATATTGGGTTTGGACAGAAACGTAGGTTCTAAACAACCAGCTATATAGGTGATGTGTTATATTAACTTAAATAAGACTGCTCAAAAATACCTACTGTAATTCACAATTCATGTCTAACAGTTTGCCTAATAGTTGCTTATAGTTACATTTACTAGATAAAGAAAAACTGTCTTCTTGCTTACCAGGAAGAACATCCGTTGCTGTAAACCTTTTCCAGACAACTTACTAAGACTGCCCAGTCTAATGAACTCCTGTGGGAAACAAATACAAAACAAGTATGTATCTTCTGCAAAAATGACGATTTTTTATTATGCAAAAATAAATATGACTACTTGGTCACAGGACTGACCTGACTATCAGTCACCAAGACTTTTATTATTTTATTAAATATGTTAAAATTATTACTTATAATTTCTTACCATTCATAACTGTCTTTAGGATAAACTCTTTTATAGCCTTTCATTCCTTTTAAGAAAATTCAGCTAAGGAAAATTTTCTCTACTTAACATTGATTTCTTCAGACAACTCCCTCACTCATTGGTTTTGAATGCGTATTTTTCACGTTACAAATGATGTAAAAACTAACAGTGAGTTGGCCTGCATGTTATTGGTTAACCACTGGTAAGCTCCTGCTGTGCCTATGGTGGCATACATAGCTCTTTGTGGAGACGCAGAATCAGTTACACGAATCAAAGTCACCATCAGCAGCAGAAAGAGGGACATTTGTCTGGCAGTGTGAGTCCGTCCTAGTCATGTAAAGAGTCTAGTACCTTCTATTCGTATAACACAGTACATTAATTCAGATCAAACTGTTGAAGAAGGTTTAGGGATGCAATTCTAGGAAAAGCAGCACATCTGAAGCTCTCAAAATGCTGGATTTCCTGGGCTTACTGTGAACTATACCATAACTCACCCTTCCACTTATCTGAAACCCATGAAAATATCCGTTTTCAGTCACTCCCTCCAGCTTCTGCCAAGAGGTTTATGTTTACTTATTACAGTCTTTCAAAGGTGATTCTACTCATAATTGTGCATGTAAGAGGCACATAAAGCATCAGAATCACCTGCAGCTTAGCAATAAACTGTCTGCTGAAGATTAATCTGTTTGGAGAGACATTCTGGTCTCCTCAGGGTTGCTGTGGTGTGTCCAGTCCCCCTACCTGCACTGCACAGGGACTAAGGGGTGGAAAAAGTGGCTAGACGTGGTAAGCTCATGTTACCAGAGGGGCCACTGGAAACTGTTGTTGGCCACCAAGGAATACTAGTCATAATTACTATTTCTACGGTACCACCTGATGGTCACCAGCAGGCTTAGCGCAACCACGGCAAGTGCTGTGCGAACACACGAATCAAAAGCTGCAGGTCATTGCAATCTGCAAGCACAGCTGATGATGACATGTTTTAATACCCAATACAGGGACCAGCTCGGTGGCAGCAGAGACCCCAGTCTGGGACAACATAAAGAGGACGGTGACCTACAGCCTCCTTTAGGACAGCTGAATCACTGGCCTAATGTGAGACTTCTCCTCTGAGACTGGAGTTCAACCACCTTTGTGACAGCACTGTGCTGGGGCAGGGACATCTGCCTTTTTCTTGAACTTCCTAGGAGAGGAAGACTGCTCTGTCTTTAAACAGAACAGGGTAGCAGAAACAACCAATGACAGCATTTAATTTCATGTGATAGAGAGATGCATGGGCTGTGAAATGTCCTGAGGGGCTTGCCAAGGAAGTGAATGGTCTGTGGATCACTGGAAGGAGGCATGAGTGGTGACAGCTGCTTGGGAGACAGGGAACAGGCAAAGTGAGGAAGCCGTGAACCGCCACAAACCAAGAAATACCCATGCTCAGTGCTGCCTTCCCAATGGCACATCGACTTCAAACCCCTTTTTGTTGATGTTTGAATCTTTGAAAGAACTAGACCCTAGGGAGCCCGGCAAGCTGCCTCTCTGCCACGACCCCGCTGTGGCAGTAGAACAGACAGGGTCCGGCAAGTGGACCCCAAGCTGCGGCTCTTGCGGAGCGGTGGTCTGGCCAGCCTGCAGGAGCACGTCAGGGCTGGACAGCTGGGCTGCAAGGCAAGTTCAAGCACTGCTGTATTTGTAGTTCAATGCAAAAATTATCTTTTTTTTTTTTTTCCAAGCTGATTCCCTGAAATGCATAAGGGGCGAGAACAGTCTAGCAATGCATTTTCCCCAACATTTTGGTTGCCGCAAGTACTGTTTTTGTGTATTACATGCAAAAGTCAGGGGAGTGGGGAGGAAATTACCTCAACAACAGACTACTCTCAAGTTTGCATGCACAGATACGCGCACACAGAAGAGTAAAAAAGGCTACAAATACTACACTGAGGCTCATTTATTCTGAAATAAGCCTCTGTTTTGACAAGTAAGAAAGAGATGTTGGTATTTTTATAACACAATTAAAAGTGTTTACTTAAGGTAACACTGTCTCAAAAATTATTGCCTGACATTACATGTAGACTAAAGGGACTGCTCATCCCCAGGGGCATGAGTTTCAAAGCTAGGCATCGTGAAAGGGCTGAAGGTCCTCCAGCACGAATGTCTTATTTTCCTTTAATCTGCTATGCTCTAGCATTGAGGGTTGAAAAAAAAAAAAAGCAACAAGAAATGAGGAAATGTGCAATTGCTTGAGCTCTGAACACTGTGATAAATATTACATTTTTACCACCTCTGTTGTAATAGATGTTTGGAATTGCCTACAACCGTCCGAATCTATACATAAAATAAACCTAATAAAAGCAGTAAAAAGATAATGAAGATGATTGCTTCTTTTGTTCTTTAAAGGCTGCTGTTTTCTATGGTATTATTATGTTTACATTTGATAGTTTTTTGTGAGAGAAAAAGGGTCATATGAGGAAAGGCAATTTCACAGTTGCTCGTAAGAAATAGGTTTCTAAAACATACCTCATGGTTTGGAATTGTATCGGACCTTGATCGCGACTCTGCCACTTACCCTTCCTGGGATCACCAGATTGTCTATGCCTATCAAATCTTTCTTGAGTTCATGCAGCTTCTGGAAGTTCTCCATCTTTATCATGTTGCCATGGACCTGGGCCACCATTTCAGAAATCTCAGCCAAAGCAGCTAGATGGACAAAATCATAAAAAGCTTATTAAAAACTTAAAAGAATGTTCAAAATGAAAGATAGACTTTGTTTGCAGCTCCCAGCTCAAGAACATCACCTTCCTTATGTTACCCTTTTCCCTCATGGTACAAACCCACAGGAGCAGACTAAAAACCACACCAGCTCTGGCCATCATCTTACTGAGGATGGAGCATTGTAATAAAGCGACAGTCTATTTCCTCAAGCAAAAGTTTACTCTATTTTAGCCACAGAACCTTTGTAGGAATACTTCAGTCAATTCAGATCACCAATGAATGGGTTCTCCTGAAGGATTTAATTTCTTACATCTCCAATTAACCTAAGGATCTTCTATACGCTTGAAAAAAATGCAATATTTCTACAGTCTGCAACACACTGGGTCAGCTCCATATTTGAAAACACGAAGAAACAGCATTGTCATTTTCTCTGTCTTCTCGTATGATAAATCCAGTAACCCTGGGGTTTGTTTTCAGTCCCAGCAATGAGAACAGCTGGAAGGGCTGCCTGTCACTGAGTCACATCACGGCTCTACTTCATTCTCTCCAAAGACACTACCAACAAAGAGTGACCTAACACCTAAGAGTCATTTTCCTAAGGAAAATCTCCATTGTCCAAGGGGACGTCTGCAGTGTGAAGAAGGATCAGGTGGGCTGCAGGAAGAAGCAGGCACTAAGAAGACCCACTCTGCAGCAGCAGAAGCCAAACCAAGTGCAGGTTCACTGCAGATTTGCTTCCCATGTTTTGTCCTCTTGCTGTGCCGACAATGCAGTAAGTCAACTCAGAATAGACCAGCTCATGGACTGGCTCCCTGTGCCATCATGTATGTGAGCACCAACCTTGATACAGGATAGGCAATCTCTCAATGGGCCAAACACACTGATTGGCTGTCTTTAGTGCTAGAAAAGCAGTTACAGTCATTTGTGTTAAAAAAATATAGTCAAAGAACCGTAACAGTGGTTCTTCCTTCTTACATCATTGCTCAGTGCTAGCTCATCCACCTGTTAGTGGGAAACCTGTACTCTCTGCTGGGATTCACATCCGCATCTCTCTTTTTTTTTTTTTTTGCTTCCTTTACACTCTGACCTTTAATGAAAATCTGCAAACACCTTAGTAAGAGACCGATCCCAGAGTGATGGTGTCCATGAGTCACACTGTCCTTCTCATGCTCTCTTATTTTCACCCCTGAATCCTGTGTTTGTATCCATTTCAGTGGAGCAGGAATCAAACCTTGATGGCTGCTGCACTCTCTGGAGACGTGGGAATGGACACATCATCCTCATCATCTAGCACTGGCTAAAAGAAATGAAGGCACTACTCACTGCATTCCTTGAGGTCATTCAGGCAGTAGCTACGTTTAGACAAACATCGGTGTCACACAGCACTTCAGTGTCACAGACCTCTGTGGCATTTCCTATCACTACAGATCAAGTTCCCTCTGCATTTTGTGCGTTGCCTGCTGTGGGTCTCATTGCACGGCATCGGAACTGGAACTTAGCCAGCTAACACCTTACAGCTGGGAGCAGTCATGCCAAGCATGGCTCTCTACTCAAGTCATTCTGTGGTTCTGCACTGAGTGCTAACTGTATGGATAACATAGTTATCTTTAAATGTAGATAGCTTGCAACAGGGGTGGGGGATGGGGGTAAGGAAAGAGGAAAAAGAAAAATCATCAAAAAGAAATAGCAGGTGGTGAGGTCGGACTACAGGAGGAAAATTTCTTCACATTTGGAAAAAAAACATTGGCAGCTTTGAGTTCCTGAAACAAACCATGGAAATGATAATAGAACAAACTGTATGTCTGGAAAAAAAACATATAAAGATAAATAACGCCTAAAGACATAACAACAGCAGCCATCGTAGGTCAGATCAAGGCCTCACCTGAGCCAATATTCTGTGTTCCTAGTGGATCTCTAGGGAAAGCTAGGAACAAGACCAGCACATAGGGTATGCTCCCTGTGCTCTGTCTCAACCTCCCAACTGTTTTCAGTTCAAGAGACTTCCTGAACTGCATGTCATTTCTGTGTGTTTAATTAAACTCCCAGCAGATTTCTCTTCCAAGTACTCGTTTAGACTGGCATAATGCCTATACGGAGCAGATCATCTTGAGTGCCATCATGCGGCATGTACAGGACAACCATGTGATCAGGCCCAGTCAGCCTACGCTTATGAAAGGCAGGTCCTGCTTGACTAACGCGATCTCCTTCTGTGGCAAAGTGACCTGCTCAGCACATGAGGGAAAGGCTGTGGATGTTGTTTACCTAGACTTTAGTGAAGCCTTTGACACTGTTTCCCACAGCACTCTCCTGGAATAAACGGTCTGCTCGTGGCTTGGATAGGCATACCCTTCGCTAGGTAAAAAACAGGCTTGATGGCCAGGCCCGAGGAGTTGTGGTGAATGGAGTTAAATCCAGTTGGCAGCCAGTCACAAGTGGTGTTCACCAGGGCTCAGTACTGGGGCCAGTTCTGTTCAATATCTTTATCAATGATCTGGATGAGGGGATCAAGTGCACCCTCAGTAAGTTTGCAGATGACACCAAGTTAGGCAGGATCTGCTTGAGAGCAGGAGCACTGATCTGCTTGAGGGCAGGAAGGCTCTACAGCAGGATCTGGACAGGCTGGATCAATGAGGCCAATTATTTGAGGTTCAGCAAGGCCAAGTGTTGGGTCCTGCACTTTGGTCACCACAACCCCATGCAACGCTACAGGCTTGGGAACTGGAAAGCTTCCCGGCAGAAAAGGACCTGAAGGTGTTGGTCTGCAGCTGGCTGAATATGAGCCAGCAGTGTGCCCAGGTGGCCAAAAGGCCAACAGCATCCTGGCTTGTATCAGAGATAGTGTGGCCAGCAGGGCTGGGGGGAGTGATCGTCCCCCTGTACTCAGCACTGCTGAGGCCGCGCCTTGAATATTGTGTTTGGTTTTGGGCCCCTCACTACAAGAAAGACATTGAGGCGCTGTAGCGCGTCCAAAGAACGGCAACCAAGCTGGTGAAGGGTCTAGAGCACAAGTCCTGTGAGGAGCAGCTGAGGGAAGTGGAGTTGTTTAGCCTAGAGAAAGGGAGGCTGGCGGGAGACCTTATCACTCTCTACAACGACCTGAAAGGAGGTTGTAATGAAGTGGGTGTTGGTCTTTTCTTTCAAGTAACAATCGATAGGACAAGAGGAAACCATAGGACAAGAGGGAACGCCCTGAAGTTGCACCAGGGGAGGTTTAGATTGGATATTAGGAAAAACTTCTTCACCAAAAGGGATGTCAAGCATTGGAACAAGCTGCCCAGGGAAGTGGTTGAGTCACCATCCCTGAAGGTATTTAAAAGTTGTGTAGACGTGGTGCTTAGGGATATGGTTTAGGGGTGGACTTGGCAGTGTTAGGCTAACGGTTAGACTCAATGACCTTAAGAGTGGTTCTTTCTAACCTAAATGATTCTACAATTCTACAAGAGCAATCTTAATCCTACCATTTCTGGTCTTCTGAGTGCTGGATTTTGCAAATCAACCCTCTTTCAATGTAGGCTTAAAAAAGAGAACTTTTTTGTCTAGCCATGCATCTCTAATAGATCTGGATGCCATTCCCCAGCTCCAGGAATTGGTGTCTTTTCTCTTACTTACCTCTTGAATCCCTGAAGTCGATGTGGCTTGGTGGGTAGTGTTTGCAAAGCCTCTCCATTATCTGCTTGTAGTGCATAAGCCTGTGTAAAGGTCTGAGAAGGAAGGTATTGAGAGGCAAGTAGCAGACTTTCTGTAGCTCAAAATCCCTGCAAAAGGTCTCCAGCTTGCGAGAGTTCTTGATCCCGTTCTCCAACTCCATTAAAATCTCATTGTGCTTCCACAGGTGAGTTGTCAGTTGCTTATATGCACAAAGAAAAGAGCATGTGGTAGAGCTATTAACAATCACTGTGAGACATGACTCAGCCCAAACCCATTCCAATAAAATATCCAATTAGCACAGCAGTTGAGATTTTGCAAACAAAATCACTGTGCAACACAATGGTTCTGATATTCACTTGAAAAGGAGAAACGGCATTACTCTTTTGAAGTACACACACCTGGCCACTCTGCCTTCCCTGCAAAACAAGAGTACCTGAGTAAACAAAACTAAATCTCCTATCAGCAAGAAATCCACAGGCAAGATGACATGGACATAAGTCATGCAAGTGTAGGTGTTACAGAGAGAGAGCTAAGAAACAAAATGGGATTTTTGTAGGAGGATGAAGGGATTTAGTTGCCCTAGTTCCCTTAGGTGCTTTTGGGGAACTGAGATGCAGGCAACTAGACTTGTAGCTTTTCCTCCCCTATTATTCATGAGAAGTTGCATCGCCTGGGAATCCAAGCAAATACAAAAATAGAGGAGTTGTCCAACACAAATGGGTACGTTAGAGTTCTTCATCCTTGGCTTACGTCCTCTTCTCCTTAGTGCAGTCTCTAAGATGATCCCACTGGCAGCAGGGGAGTTACGCACCAGCAAGTGAATGAGGTTTGCATGAAACACGTAACTTCATTTAGGTCTCAGTATCACGGACACCCACAAGTCCCATTTAAAACAATTCAGCAGTATTTTTTTTGAACAATTAACACAGGGACTTCATTTGTGTTTTGCAAAAGGTAAACTTGTTTTTCAAGGATGCACAGAGCTTCTCTGAGCAGCCATATAAAGTCTCCCAGTACCTTGTAGAATATTAACCAGCAACAAAAAGAAATTGAATGTGTACACTGAACAGACTTGACAAGACAGTTTGGCTTAATCTAAAGCTTGTGCATTTTGACACATTTCCAAGCAACTCCATCTCTCCTGTGATTTGTGACATCTTTACCAGAAACATATCTTCCCTACAGCCAAGTCGCTTCGTCCATACACTACAAATTCATTTTACAAGCCTGTAACTCAGGCAAAGACACAGCAGACCCTCTGGACTACTACAGAGGGTTGTCCATTAATTACTTGCTCTAACTTCTTTCCTATGTTAATTAAACAACAATGTCACTTTTCAGGTTTTTTAACAGGTCTCATGATAAAAACATAGAGTTTTAACTAACTTCATTGCTTCCTCTGCAGTTCTTTAAGTCAAGCTGGGTTTTACTTCTTTCCTCCACATATCTGTTTTTATCAGTGGCAGCAGATCGCAAAGCAAAGGAAGCAAATCCTCTAACGGGAAAGGGAGAATGGCAAAGGTGAAAGCACGCCGACAGGTCTAAGTTACAGTGAGCACTGTACACTGCCTTGGACTAGTGCCGCAGAAGGACTTGCAGACAGTGAAGAACAGGCAGTTTAATATTGCAAGGCACCAAGAAGAAGAAGCAGAGTCTGTCAGACGCTGAGATTCCCAAAACTGTTTGTGAAGAGGTGCATACTTTTTGAGAGGAGGGATGGAGGTAGAAAAGTCCCCCCGCGTTTCTTCCAATGCCTCTGAGTTATGTCTTGAGGGGAAAAAGCAGTTCCTGTTAAGTACATTGCAGAAAGGGTAAGGCCGCCTTCCTGGTGACAGAGCTGTCTGTTGGGGACTGTAAATCAAGATTTCTACATTCTCTCTTTCTGATTTGCTGTATAATCACTTGCATGTCACTTAACCTCTCTTCTTCTCTCTCTGTCCTTATGAAAGATAAGCCTAGCCCTAACTAACGTCTCAGGAGAGCTATAAAGATTAAAGTGCCCTTTCCTCCAGCCAAGGACTCAAGGCTTCTCCATTTACTAACTGCGGAATGCCAAAGTGGCAATCACCAGGGAAAGATTTATTGGATAGTTTTGAAAGTGCTTTGAGATCCACATGCCGAAGGTGCAGTGCGGTGTTTTGCCACACACTGACCTGGATGCATAGCAACATTAATAAGATGAGCTACACCTAGGTTTGCACTTCATACATGTATTTTTGGTTTTAGCTTTAAAGGGATCAAAGGCAATTATTTGCATTTGTTCCAAAACATTTCACCTAACTTGGTACCATAGTGCATAAACGTAACGCTTCCCAAATCAAGTCAATATCCAAGTTTATGGTCACTACTCCTGCAATATCTTAACACCTACATTTGCATGCACAAGTAGGCACACTCGGCGTTTGAATAGTCTATTCAGCCATACAAATTCTGATGTTTTGCCTTACTTGAAAGAAAAAAGAACTGGAAATGAAATGTTCCTGAACTTCTGTGTGTGTTTGGAGACGGGATTGAGGAAAGGGGTTGTACAATTTAAGATCAGCTACCAATTCTGAAATCTCAGGGCTCACCAAACACTTGGTACTTCATCAAAGGAAACCTTTATAGCATAAGCTGTGATTACAATTGGCAAAAAAACAGCTCAAGAGTCAACATCATATGAAAATGAAAAGCATGGTAATTCTAATCTGTGTCAAAGCTTAATAGTTATAGGATCATTCCTACCTTCATACTCTGAATGTTCTTCAGCATAACATCTCCGATTCTTTGGTAATCTCCTTTAACGTGAGCATTAGAGCGGCCTTCCCTGTCAGCAACAGAAACATCACACACTTCAGTCATGCAATAAAACGGCATAATCACTTATAAGCACAGAAAGGAACTCAAAAGCTCATTTCTTTTAAATTCCTGACCCCTGTACTCCTTCACTCAGGAGTCTGTGAGGAATCTTCCAGGTACGGCACACCCTTCACCCAGCTTGGTTTGCACTCCTAACAACAGAGAGCAGGCACTTAGCAGAAGGATTAGACCTTTAAAGAAAATTGCTAGCATTTTTAAACACACCAGAGAAGGCTGGAAATGGCCTGAGAAAAAGGAAGACATCAAAATCCCATGGCAATATGTAAGCTTAGAGCAGAAGGACAATTCTGTTCAGAAACAAGAACTGCACCCCAGCACAGGACCCACAGGTGTTCCTCCTCTGAAAAGCTTTCTGCTTGTGCAAGGGACAGTGGGACAGAAAAAAAAAATCCATCCGGTGTCTGGGTTTGACTCATAAGTGTAACATATTGGCAGGGAACTTACTTTCAATGTGTCACTATTAAAAATGCAAACTGCTCCCTCCCACCCAGCCAGCTGCGCTTGGGTGGGTGCTCCATTTGGGAGAAATCCAGCTCCTGATGAAAAAGATACTCCTGCTTCTAAACCCATGTGCGAGACAGACAGGGATACCACACTCTGACTGAATCCAAGCATATCTTTTAGAAAATGCAGCAGGAAAAATCATGACTATAAGAACCTAACTGTTACACATCTGTTCCAACAAAGTTAGGTTTTCAAAAGCAAATCACTAGGGGGGGTGTGAGGAGAAGCAGTGTCCCCTTCTCCTTTCCAACTTGTAATACTGAATCCAAGTTTCCCGCAGCGTGGTGTTTTATGTGCTGCCCTCAATTTTTAAAATTCAGTTCAACTCCCACATCTGAATATTGGGAGACAGATCCAATCCTGGTGTAAGCAACTGCAATTCAGCCAAAGAAATGCACTACCTTGGAAGAGGACAGAAATATAACCAAGCTCTAAATGAAGCCAAGGATAACAGGACCTTTGTTTTGTGTTACCGGTAAATGGATATATTGTTCTTCACTCACTTGCAGTAGTTCATACTTCCAAGAAAACCCTGTGTGCAGTGAAGGAATAAGTGGACAACCAGGTGGTAAATCTCTGCATTCTTTAGTACCAGCAATTCAGCCAGAGAGGTCCCACACTCACCAAATCACAGAGGATGCAGCTGTTCTTAGGAATATACTTTGACTAGTAAGACGCATGGAATCTTTTTTTTTTTTTTTAAATCCATATTATTACATGAATAGATGCATATTCAGACATATATTTTGTTTTGTAAAGCTAAACATGGTTATGCTCATGCTTGATAATCTCTCTGCTGCTTTTCTGACTGGGAAATGTGGAGGGCACAGCTTATAAATACTACACAGTAATATCTCCTATTTTATCCTTCAAGAAAGAGACTCAGCAGATAAACAGGGATTGCTCCATGTTCATTTGAACAATATCCAGTTTCACAGGCTGTCTTTAATTATTTCCTGTTAAGTCTCCCAGGCGCCCACATGCCTATTTAAGCAAGAAAAATACATTTCTTGACAAGATTTTTAATGTTTTTTTTGAACCCAAAGGTTACACTGGAGTAGGAAGCTGGGTTGTGTCAATGGTAACTTTAATTAGCATCGCTCATTTTGCAAAAGCACTTCATTATGTAAACACTGGCATAGTCAAAACATGCCCAAGAAATGGTCTGTATTGCCAGGAGCAGCAGAGGTATGTATGGACGTTACAAGACTACAGTCTCTACGTTTCCTAAGCATAAAAATCCAACTTCTCTCTCCAGAAAGCCTCTGCCTGTCAAGTCATCTCTCCTCTATGCTGTTCCCTGTCTTTCCCTTCCCCCACGTCCTATCCATCCAGCAGCTCTCCTCACTGAGATTTCCTCCGAGAAGTTGCAAATAAAACTTTCCAGACACTAAAGCTCTGCTCAGAGTGGTGCATATGAAAGTGCCCCCGACTGAAAACCACAACCATTTGAAGCTCAAGGCAGTAGCACCGCACTGGCAGGAAGCAGGGGAAAGTCACCCTCCACCAGTGCAGCCAGCATGCAGCATCCCATCCCAAATGGTTCACGTTGCGCTGCTGCACACAATCCCAGAAACGTCAAAGCCAGATGAATTTGTGCTGCTTCCAGTAATGACGTGGTATTTGATAAATATCTCTAGAAGAATTCTTGCTTTATTTGTTATTCTCTAACTCACTGGCATTGCCTGGATCCTTTTTTATGTCTCTACATTTGAGTTAATCTAACAAACTTCAGACGTTTGGTACCTTTCTGATTTACTGCCAAGATAAATATTCAGCACATCATTACACACTGCTTTTTCTAAATAGAAATTGCTTTTCTGATCTTAGAGCTACATAAAGGTCAGCTGGAATACTTACTGAAAATTTCTTACCTACTAGCTAGCTACTTGAAAGCTGACCTCAAGCCTACCAAAGTCATAGTGAGTGCTTCCACTGGCTTTGTGAACTTCAGCTAATATTTACTGCAGTTGTTTGTTGAACAGTCAGGTCCTTATTTCCTAGAAGTTGACCCCGTGGCCTCTCTTCAGCATAGCCACCACTGACTGCTTGCACAGCATCTCATCACATCAGTCACTTGAAAGCATCAGGAACATTCCCCTCCATTGGCTTTGGCCACAAACTTTTTTTTTTTTCTTAAACAGTTTGAGGTCTTTCAAATCTTACTCTGCATCTTGGCAGAGTGACAAAGAGTGAGAGAAGGGGATTACCCAAAAGCGACAGCCTCTCTCCAGCTGGTGGCTGAACAGTGAAGAGCTGAAGCGTACCAGAGCCCTCAGCCCAGGCCAACAGAGACAACCTGCGCTGCCTGCAGATGTGTACTGCTGGAAGAAATAAAACCCCCCAAAAATCCTGAAATGTGATGGCTGGGTATTGCTCCTTGTTCCAGCCATTCTCCCTTCTTTGCTTATTTATTTCCACGCAAATGCTGCATCTTGCAACAGAGACATTTTCCCAGTGGGGATGGTGCCTATGCATGTAGGCTGTGACGTGGAGCAGAGACGCAGGGAAAGCTGAAGCCAGGCATGGGGGAACACAATGGCTTTACATCTGCCTCCTAAACCTCATCCTCCACTCCACCCCAGCTCTCTCCTGGGACTCCACAGTAACTCCTGCACTACACTGCCCTCTTCCCCACCCCCTCAACATCCAAATCCAAGTAAATAATAAGAAAAGAAACCCCAAGAAAAGAGCATCCAAATATACAGAATATTAAAATAAAAACCAAACATCCAACCCATCAGATGGTGTCTTACTGCTTCAACAGTCCAAAGCACAGCAGCAGAGAGGAGAGCTCTCCCTGCGGTGTATGTTTTGAATAACAACACTCAGCTTGCCGGGGGGGGGAGAAGCTGCTCATTTGTTGTGCATCGATGGCTAAATTGTTCTTCTTACTCCTTGTTTTCACGGGTCACTGTTTGAACATGGTATCTATCTGCCAGTGACAAGGGACAGAGCTCAGGGACTAGGTCCTTACAGATTTTCATCAGGAGCTGATTTATGACCCCCAGCTCCACAGAAGATGTAGGAGCTGACTTCCTATACACACAATGTGCTCTCGCTCCACTGACATTGTGTGGGGAGGTCTAAAGCCACTGAAAATCATGCTGAATAGTGGTGCTATTATTCTATAATAAGCTTGTTTCCCATTGTTCTTCAAACAGTTCCTTTGTTTTTACAGTAATGCAAGTGCACAACTGCAAGCAAAGAGGAGACTGACTTTTATACCTGATAAGAAACTCAGACACTACCTTATGTATTACTAAAAATGGCCACCAGCTCGACTTAGGGGACTATGCAAGCAGCTAAGTTAGATTTTTGAATTACATGAACTTCTTAGTCTACATCATTGAAAAACGAATGAAAAGAAATCTGAAGTCAGCCCATACAATCCTCAATCATCCAGGAATGGCAGTAGAAAGAATAGAAATTTGATGGGGATGGCAGGAGTGCAAAGAAGGTGAGAAAGACACCTCAACAGAGATTTTTTTTTCATGCAGGTGAATATAAAAGCTTTGATTGCAGCCCTTCAATTGCAGAAAAAAAAAAATTAAATTGCAGCAAATTATATTTACAGTGTATGACCTTCTGTTACACGCTCAGGATAAGCGTCTCCCTCCTGGATACTATAGCTAGTCTTTGAGCACTTAGACACTTTAGACTTTTTAAGAGTATTATTAACTAAAGTTATACTATTAAAGAAATACTTTAAACGTTCCCCATTATGACTGTCTTTTAAATAAGAGGAACATTTTGTAACTCAAAAAGAAGAGTCAATAAAAGCAAAACACCCTCTTCGTTGCTCACACCCTGCTATTACACAGTGCCTCTTATTGCCCTGCCCATTTCAGATGATGCTGCAGCCGTCCTTTCAGCAGTAAGTGGTGCATGAAACTCTGCTCAGAGCCTAAGGTATGTACTGCTGAAGCCACCAGAACTTCCCAGAGTCCCACCAAGCCTTCGAGGAGCCTGCACACATTGAAAGACTTTGGGCTGGCTATCCCTGTTGTGGGAGAAATCCATTCTACAGCAAGCATGCACCAGTAATGCTTTTAAGGGTATGAGATCAGAGCAAGTGACTGCATCACCTGGAAACATACTGAAAACGCAGCGACATTTCATACCTTGTCATGGTACCTCCACGGATGCGATCCTGCTTGCATCTCGCCTGGGAGAGCTGAGATGCATGTAATGTGGCTCTGGGTATGACTAACAGATCCTGGACAAGCTATTTCTCTTCCACCATTTCAAATTAATTTGAGTGTAGCATGGCTCTAATCCCTAGAAGTACTCAAAAGTGACTTCAGCAATGCAAACTGTCCTCTCAGAAGTGAGCGCAATGCACTGGCACCAAGCCCTGATCAATGTCTTTGTCTCAGGAATCCACACTGTGACTCTGAGGTTTATACTACAATACATCATTTCTGTACACAGGACAAAGACACTTTCAAAACTGTCCTCATCCCTCTTCACTAGGCACGCAGAACCAGCTGAATAGTCAGCACTCCTGCATTTGAGAAGGTAACAAGGATTGCTGCCTTGTTTATGTACCCTGTTTGTTAGGCTGTTCTTCCTGACCACAAGCACTACTTCCCAAACGAAAAATGGTTAATAAATCAACATTTAGCTCATCTTCCTACACCTCCCTGAGAGCTTTTTATTACAGGTTTTCAAACTGGTTTCCATGAATCCTGACAGAGCCTTCTCCTTTCATATGCAAAGATCTAAGAGGGTTTTTTTTTTTTTGCAAACTACCAGCCGCACGTTTCTCAGCAACATCTGGTAGTACTGAATAGCAGCTTTCCTCAGAAATGCCTGCGAACTGGGCGTCAGATTACTGGCTTCCCTGGGAGAAGAAGAGTCTGACGGCATTTCCGGAAAGTACATAGCCGTAGCCCTCTTTTCTTCCTAGCGCATGGATAAGGCCCAAAATGCGGATTCACATGACCTGATAGGGCTTCCTATGGTAGAAATGGCTACCCTGGCTTCCCTGGCATTGGTCTCTGCAGTGCTTAGCAGCTGAACAAGGGAGGAAATTTATGGTTCTCCATTTGCCACCTTCTGTCAGAATTTACAGAAACCAGTCTGGAAACTTGCAATACAAACATGTAAAGGGGTGTGGGAAGATGAGCTCAACTTTTTTGGCTGGAAAATGGTGTTTGTGGCCCAAATGAAGAGCATATTAAACAGCTTAGAGAAATGAAGGAGCAAAATCTGACTGACTTCTCAGATTCAACTGGTCAGATGTTAATGGAGCGTGTCATGCTCTGCCTGCACTACCCACACCTCTTCCTCCTTGCCATAAAAATCTCTCAGGCCCTGGGAAAAAAGAGACAGCTTTCAGTCACTGAGATAGGCCTCCCATATGTCGTCCCAGCAGAAAGGCTTGGGAACTCCTGGCCTTGCACTCAAAGCCTTGCTGAGGAGCAACCTGAATGAGTCCTGCTAGCCAGAACCAGGATCTAGGTGCCTGACTGCCAGATGCACTTCTCCTAGCCCTTGCTAACAGGACAGCACTGCTGCCTCGCCCATCTCAGGCAGCTTCTTGCTGTTTTTCCCCTCCTCCTCCCCTGCTGCAGGAGAGGGCAGAGCCCCATGCCTGCCTGCCTGCCTCCACTAAAGGTCACCCTTCCTCTCCTCAAACCACAGGGCCTCTAGTGGAGTATTTCCACTTGGTCCCAGGAACATGGTCAGTCTCAAACATAGGGCTCAAGCACAGTCAGGGCAAACGATAGGATTCACGAGCTGCTTCACTGACCCAGCAACAGCACAGGCAGAGCAGAAACATCAACCAGAGCATGGTATGACTGATCTTAGGATGCTGTGCAACAAAACCACCAGGAACATGTTCAGTTTCACGGCCAGAAAGAACCTCTGGCTGTGAAGAATTCAGCAACTTCTGATATTCTGCAGTTGGCTATTGGTGTCAGCATCGATTCACGTCTTGTTAAAAACTTTCTCACTGTGCACTAGACACTGAGATCGGCTGCTCTTAGGAAATGCAATGCTAAAGAGAATAACGGGTGAATTGCGTAAAGAAACAAATCAGAACTGCCAGAATCTATAACTGGGTCAAAAGGATACTAGCCCTTAAAATGTTCAGCAGCAAACAGTCTGCCTCTGATGGCAGATTCAAACAGTTCAGAAGCCTTCAAGCAAGCCAGAAATGCTTTTAATAATGTGCACAATCTGAGCTTCTTTGAGCCAAATGCTAAAAGTCTATAGATGTTTTAACAAATTAAAAGCACAGAGCCATCTAACAATTGTTATGCGTGATCCTCCCCTGGCCTTGCTCTCCTCACAGCTCTTTCGCAAAGCATCAGCTTCAACGTGATCCAAGTCCTCAGAGACCAGGGAATGGCTTCCCGTAAGAGCTTCCAAGACGCAGCACAAAGGTTTGAAACAATCCTTAGACAAACACACTGATGTCTAGGCAGAGGGAGCAGGCACTTTAAGTTGATAAAACCCAGCACCCTACTCACAAGGGGAACCCAGATGACTGGCTGCGGGAGGCTCTTCCTCTCCGACAAGCTCCCACAACACACCCAGGTATCTCAGGGCTTCCAGTAGCTTGATGAAGTCCACAACCCTTTCATTCACAGGTCCTTTTTTCGTAAGATATGCCACCCTCTGATGAATGCAGAATATGCTCATGTCTCCGGACAAGTGTCCCACCTCCCTCCCCCTCTCCCTCCACATGGAAATTGGAAAGAGCTGGCACAGAAGCCAGAATTAAATGAGTTGGCTGGAACCCTGCCCGCACCTGCCTGCGGCATTGCCACCGGCTCAGCCAGGCCCTCAGGAGCTACGTGGCTGATGCAGTGGCTCTGCGCTGCGTCAGTGAACAGAACCCTGCTGGCTGCAAACCGCCCGGAGCCAAAGACATAGGTACCATCGTGACAATATGGACACTGAGCTAGGTGACCTTGACCCCACTGATGAAGAAATTCCCTACCGCATTGCCACCAGCTCTTCCTTCTACAGGCTGAGGGGCTCTTTATTTTTGTCACTCGTTGTTTAATTAAACAGTAGTCTCTATAGGATAGTTTATTGCTCGCAGCTTATCTCGGCATCTGTGGCATCATATAAAACCAGCAATACCTCCAAAATAACACCTGCCAGCACATCCACCTCCCTTCCTAAGGTACGTATTCAAATCTTCCACAACGTTAAAAACGAACACCACCTACAACAGTGGTATTACGTTAGGTAAACCCACGCTGTTGGTTGCAAACTGGATGCAGACCAGGGGCAGGAACATGACTGCACTTCTGTCAAATGAATGAGAGCAGCCAACAGAGAATTCCCGGTGGCTTTATGCTAACTGTGGAAGGACATGCAAGAGCTGAGCTGACAAAGTCAAAATGAGGTGCCCAGCTGGGACACAGTTACCTCCGCAGAGTATTTTCCAACAAATCTGGATTGCAAAGTAACTTTGTAGCAGATCAGCACTTTATATCACAGAGTAACTGCAGTTTAAATATGATATTAGGAGGCTTAAACTAAGGTTTACCACTCTCTGAAACCATAGCCTTAGGACACATGAAAAAGCTGGAAAATAAAAAGCTTACTCATCTCTAAAAGAAGCAAACTGAAAAGGAGAAAGAAAATAAAACCATGGAAAGTCTAAAAGCCTAAATATTCTTTTAATATATCTCACCCTACTTAATACAATGCCACCTTTCCACAGCAGGCTGTTATTGCAGCATCATCCAATTTTTTAAAAACATCACACCTAAAGAGGAGGTTGGCATCCATCTGTATTGCCGCCAGTAACCAGAAGGATATAGGGGGAATCTCTGTTTCAACATGTGCTCCAGGAATCAGCACCCAGCAAGCTCACTAGATTACACTGGTGTGATAGAGAGCATAACTTGGCCATTTACTAACTATAAATTTTCCTTTTCTTACCATTCACCCTTAACCCCAACCAGTTGGGGATTAATCTCAACTACTGTTAATCCTACACCATGGTTGGAGAAACAATCACTATTTTGTGACATTTGAAAGAGTCTTCTTGCAGCACATGTTCCTTACTGGAAAGTAGTAAGGACACCAGCAAAAATCCTGGCTGGATTAAAGCAGCACCGGCTCAATGAAAAAAGGGAGATACAGGCAGTTACTGTGCAGCATATTGCCTTAGGAGTAACCTTATGTCAACCATCAGCCACAGAGTCCTGGATAAGGATGTCAGCTCTAAGAGGCAGTATCACATTCCTCCCTCCCCAGAAAATACCTGCTAATTCTGGAACTGTGCAGGGTGGGTTTGGAGAGCACTAGTCTGCAATGTGTTGTGCCCTCATTCCATGACCGTGCTTATCACATCACAAGAGCTAAACTCACACACTCTAAGACTGTGTTTTGTTTTTGTTTTGATTAATTAAAGAGGCATTCAACTGATTAGCACTCATCATGTCTGCCTGATCTGCTTTCACATGATTTTCCACTGTCACTTTTCTAACCAAGAAAGAAAAGCTGGGCTCCCAGCTCAGAAGATAAACTACGAAAAAATGCCTACACAGAGCAAGACAATCTAGTCCAGACAAGTCTAATCACAGCAAGGAGAAAGCTTCTGTGTGCTGCCTCTGCTCAGATATCAGTGGTCAAATGAACTGAGTTGAGAGTCCTGCCAGGGAAGAACTGTGAAACAGCTATGAAGTGAGTAAAACTGCCATGTTTTACTGTCAGTATTATGCTAAGGATAGATAATTTTTAAGCCCAGTGTCCTCTCCTAACACTCTGTCAATTTGTAGAGTGCACTGTAGACACTGAGAGTGTCAAAGCTGCTGTGCTGCAGAATAGAAAGCTGGTCTTTGAAATCCCCTCCATCCTACACCTATTTGACAGAAAAAGGACATGGTCCTTCACCACTCCCTCTTTATTACTGATAAGACTTGCTTGCAACATGATTTTTGGAAGAGCCACCATATAGAAACACTGACATTTCGCAAGAGAAAGCTTCATCCAGAATTATGATCTTATTTGCATATGACTGTACCCGAGATATCTGAACAACAGTTTGTTGAGTAAACACACACAAACCCAGTCTCTTAATAACCAACATCTGTGACTTTCACAAATGAATCACTGCAATAGATCACAAAGAGTTAGCAAAAAGGGAATGTAAAAACGCTAAGCTACATGAAATAAGACGGCTAAATAATGAACAACAATCTTACCACAGAGCAAGTCTCTGCTCAATTTCCTTGAGAAAACCAGTGTGAAATTTGTGCAAAGGTTCGAAGTTGGAGAAAATGAGAGTTTTCAGTGTTTCAGTCATGCAATCCTCTTTACCCACAGCACTCTGAAACCACTAAAAAGAAAAAAGAAGCAAAACTATCAGGGGGGTGGAATGCAGGAGGTATGATCATTTGCTTTATTTATACACCTAACCCAAATACACCTGACACAGTAAGGATCTTATTTAGCTGGCACTAGGAATACAGCTCAGGCTACCCCTGACACTCCTACATGTTGAGCTGGTGCTCTTTCAGTTGTCTGGCCCTGCCTAGTTAAAAAAGAACCTCCCTTCCCCCTTGCCGTCACTGATCAAATCCTGAAAATTCTTCTCGAGCCCAAACTCGTTGGTCAGTACAAACTGAATTTGCAAATGCCGTAGGTGCAAGAGAAAGAGCATCGCAACACTCGCAACACTTGCAAGTGTTCCAGTAAAAACAAAAAATGCGCTCTGCGCTTCCTTTTGAGGAGTTCTGTCTGAAATCCCTTTGACAGGAGTTGGTACAGTAAGCACTCAGGCCCATGTTGTGGGCTGTGCGTGGACAGAGAACATTACGCACTCTGCAAAGTGAACAAGTAGAAGGACAGTACTTTGCACTTCCAAGACAAGCTGCTAGTAGCAGAAGATAGGAGTGTCGGTGCCAAACACTGTTAGAACTGCAATAGGCTTCTGCTCAGTTTTGCTCTGTATTCTTTTTATTTCACTCTAATAGACAAAGGGGTGATGTAAAGCCATAGGACTCGGGGGCTTACCAAGGTGGCACAGACCATTATCTTCAACATGATAACACTACTTCCTCCTCGGTGCCCTGGGGGGGTTCCAGTTATCTATGGCTGACTTCCAGCAGTGCCCTAGAAGGCTGTTGGGACCCTAGAAGGCTGTTACAGCAGTCTTGATTGACACTTCATCTGCTGGAGCTGACCCAGACCTGGGATAAAGAGATTCATCTCTCAAGCTTCCCCCTCCCCCCTTTCTCTCTGCACTGAGCAGAGCTAATGTTGAAGAACTACACACCTACCAAGCCTTGGAATTCATGCATGACACTCGTTCTTTCTACCTTTTCCAATGACGCTGGCTACTTGTTCACTCCCAGGGGCCTCCTGCGCCAGACATCTGTGGGGCACAACTGATGGGCCTGATTATCAGCTTAGAGCCTCTTGGTGACACAGCAAATTCACATTTCCCTACCACAAGAATAAAGGCTAGGGTGGGATATGCAGTTTGGCTCTGAAGAGATAAAACTTTCTGTTTCTACAGCCACTGGGTGAAATAGAAGATGAAAAGCTGTTGAGACTGCAGCAATGACCATGGTCCCACAGAACCTGGTCTCTTCCCTCATTGACCTGGCTTCTCCAGAAAGCCAGGGTAAGCAGGCAGTTGTGCCACAGCACCTTGCTGCCTGTAACAACCATGCTGCTCCAGCCTACATTGGCTACGTCCAAGCTGGCATCAATCAACTGCGTCTGCCATGTGGGCTCCTGGATCAGACGAGAAGCTGAGGAGAAGGTGTCTCGTTCCCAGCTGGTATCAACAGGCTCTTCTCTGCAGCATGTCCTCCTTACCACAACACTCAGTGCAGGAGGTGGCAATGCACCTCACAGAGTTTCTTGCACTGGGTGATTAAAGAGCTGGGAGGTCTGGAGTGGCAGCCCTGCTGAAATACCATGACAGGTTTTGGATCCAGTGCCCTTTCACAGATGATTGTTATTTAAGGCCAAATCTTGCACACATTACTCCTGGAAGATAAACAAGGCTGTCGGTGTGTGTGCAAAGAAGGCACATACTTGCCTTGGTAATTTTAACAATCACACTCTGATCAGATGCTGTAAATTAATGACTTGTTTAACAGACAGTTTCACCTTCTGAAAAATCAGAATCATTCAAATAGGTACTCCACAATATTTCATGTTAAATGGAGGGCATTTAATCCAGGAGAAAACATTTATATGTCCCCTTAGGGACCTAGTTGAGTTTTAAGACAAGTCATTGAAAACCCACAGGCATTTTTAGTAATTACAACCACAAAGTCTGAGAGCAAGAAAAAATAACTGAACTGTGTCCCAAGTTCCTCAACCTGATACAGTTTTGTAGTGCATGTTACTAACCACAGTACAAATCTCTACTTTCTGCTTTCTGTGTTACTTCCTCCCTAGAGCTGTACTCCTGTGCACTGCAGAGAATACCCACAGTGCAGAATATAAAAGTAGCATGGAACAGCAAAGATGTTAAATGAAGCAGATGAAATACTACTGCTGACTAGAGCTTCACATGTTTCATGAGTAATGCTCAAGTAAACATACCGATGTGATGACTTCAAGGTCCTTCAGGTATGTTCGTTCTGTGGTCGCTACTTCTTTAGCAATGAAGTAAGCTTTCTCAGTTGGGAATCTCTGCAAATTGCAAACACATTAGGTTTTCATCTGCTTTTATGGAGTTGCTTTCTGTAGGAAAAAACTGCAGACAACAATCACCAAGAGAGTTACAAACTAGTGCGACCCTTGCTTGTGGTTACTGTGACTCATGCTTGAACGTTCCTAAGCCCTGAAGCCCTGCAAACAATCCTTCCTTGCAAACACAAGAGAACAAGCACTCTCTATGGGTTCTTGAGAGACTTTTTTTCTGCCAAGATGATTGCTATAGCTTTGGGGTGCTGATGTTCCTTTCAACTCGTTCCACACATCTAGAGCAGAACAGATTTTGAGGTTGACAAAGATATTCTTTGCAGGCTAGATAACCATTTAAATCAAATTTGACAAATGTCAAAATTGAAAAAATGACAAAAATTAGTGTCTGATTATTATAAGTTTCATTGTCAGGGTAAGAACTCACAGTAAAAATACTCTCAAAAAACCTCAAATCCATAAGATCTTCCCAGTGCAGCTGGGCAACCTAGCAGTTGGAGAGGGGAGGGATTTTAGGGTACACTACAAATTTAAAATTTCAGGAAAAAAACCACAATCTCCTGTGTTATCCAAGAGGCAAAAGTGGTTTTGACCTCTTAATTCTGAAGAGCCAAAGGATCCCAACTGATCTTGCTCTGTGTTGTTCAGGAAACAAAAAGGAAGAGCAAAACATCGATAGATCTTATGCTTCTGCATTTCCTCCCTGAAGATCAAAGAGGATGCACTAGAAAGGGATACAAGGGGAGACTGCATGGACATTTCCTGGTCAGTATACAACCCCATAGGAACCATGACAAGCTATAGCAGTTGCTGGCTGCTATAACTTGGACCGACACAGAGAATCACGAGTCTATTAAGTGATTCTTGGCTTTCTTCTCAAATTTCTCTCACAGATCTTGCTAACTATGCAGTGTGAAAAGAGACCTTCCTTACACATGTTCCCACTTCCCAGCAAAGCCATCTGAGTTCATACCTTCTTTCTCCTGAGGCGCTCCAAGCTCAGGAGAAAAAGCAGGCAACAGAAGGACAAGAGCAACCCCTTCTCACCCTGCAGCACAGGAGGGACGAGCCAGCAGACACCCAGAAAATCCTGGCTCAGAGAGAATCACTTCTGCCTTCAAAAAGCAGTTTTGGATGTGATGCTCCCTTATGGCTTTGCTGCAACGATGGGGCTGAGCCAAACATTCCCAGCTGAATGCTGCAGGCTGTGGCTCAAAGACAGTGTTTTCTACTCCCGCAACTAAATGCTCCCAGTGGTGCTCCCAGCAGAGATAGACTGGAGAGCCTGGGTTGGACAATCCTGCACAGACTCAATGTTGTTCCTCTTCCTTTTGTCACCCGGAAATTTTCCCTCTAATAATACATTGGAGTTGACTGTTTTGTTACAACAAACTATCAAACTCCACTCCTTTATAGGAGACTGTCAAAACAAGCTCTTAAGGTTGCAACCAGCAGCACTGACCCAGAATTATCCCACACTAACCTTAGGGACAGAGCTACCCATCTTGTCTCTGCTGCTTAAAGAGGAGCTGGGTCCCCTAACTCCTGCACCTCTGTTTAGGAGGATGAATTCAAGGCACTGAGCCCCTCAACTGCTGAGCAGCAGTTCTATGGTTCTGTCCTGACCCACTCCAAGCTGTGTTTAGCCTCAGGAGCACAGGGATGCTCTTGGACACACCATGACTGAGGACAGCAGATATCCAGTGACTCAGCTCAAGTTATCTGTGTGGATCTATGATGAGGAAGTTGCAGGAGGTCTAGATATTAGTCACTTTGAAAAACAGCAGCAGCTGCAACACAACACAGAGAAGAAAGCCAAGGCCAACTCTCTCTGCCTTACCTTTCTTTTGACCTCTTCCTCGTCATCAGTCCTGATGCATGATGGGTCATTCAGCAAAGGGCTGATCAAGGGAGATGACTGCTTGGCATCAGGGCTCAAGTTTGGAGATAAAGACATATTTGCCACTGATGGTCCTCCTTGGGAATTGATGGAAAGCTCTGAAAGGTGAGGGCTGCCAGTCAGAGAACCTGCTAAAAAAAACGGTAAAAGAGAAATCAGTCAAGATAGGCTCTCTCTATAAAGTACCAAAAAGAGTTGCAACCTTAAGTTGCAGCATGTGAAATTACACTACAAGACACAGTCATGAGGGTCCTCAAACTAGTCCAAATGGACTTGAAGTCAGAGGAACTGCATCCACCTGTGTTAACCAAGTGGGTGGAGTGTTCTTTTAGCTGATAAAACTGGCTGAAATAAGTGTCTCTGTAGGGAAGGGATCAAGGTATCCATGAATTTACTGCTAAACGTCAAATTAATGTCAAATTTTTCACCATTGTAATCCACTCTATGAAAGAGGATAAATACAACAATAAGGGAGTCACCCTAGGAGCGCCATTCTTTCTAGCAAAGAACTTCAAAGACTGAAATCAGTACTTCATAGGGAGCTACAGGAAAAATTTATCTATTGCAAGTCTAGAGAAATAGAAACGATGACTTTCTACAGCAGTGTTGCTGCTAAGACCAGTCAGATCTAACATGAAGGGAGAAAACTACTAGTTCCCCAATTTCTACATACAACACAAGTATGTATATTATACCTTGTAGGTCTTTCCATGCTCCTCTGATTGTTTGGGATGGAAATGCTAGCATTACATTTACATAAGAAAAGCAATACTTTTAACGGACAAAGCATGACAACTTCAGATTATCACAGATATAAAGTCTCATTTAATTTTGGATTAAAAATATTAAAGAATTAGACAATTAATTACACTTCCATGGATTCATATACACTGCATTAAATATCACTCAAATTAGCATTTTGTCTTCTGGGAGGCAGCCAGCCTACTGACTGCACAAAGGACAGAGTTTGCCAAAAATGCCCAGTGTTCTCCCAGTTACCCTCTCTTCCAAACCTCTGAAAATCTAAACCTGTTTTAGAAGACGGATCTGTCATGTGGAAGAACATTTACAGTCTGTACTGTTTTGGCATCATACATTAAATCCAAACAAAAAAATGTGACAAGCTCTTGATTACCACAGCTAATAGGCTATCTAGGATTAAATGTAAAACACATACATTGCCATATATAATTAAAGTCAAATACATTTTACTATCATCTGTTTATGTCCTCCCTAGATTATGATAGGTAAGTGTTCCTGTTGCTACAACACAGCTGAGATACTCCAGTAAACAGAGGCACCAATAAATATAATTAGGCCAGTAGTAAAACCTATTTATTTTCTGGAAGCACTCAAGATTTATTGCTAGAATATGAATGTTTTCCAGTTCCAACTCAGTTCATATTTATATGTCATCCCTTTGAAAAGAGAAGGAAAAAAACAATACAGTTATCAGTTTACGTAATCATGACAGTTATGTAGCCTATTATAAATCAGTCAAAGCAGTATTTGTCTGAAATAAAGGTCTGTATTATTACAGCTAGCAAGAAAGGATTTACCAACAGTTTCACACTAAATCAATGTTCAGTGAAATTTGAGAAAATGCCACAGCTTGTTACACAAATGTCAATTTTATTGACACTAGCACACAACTGTATACAGTGTTTTCAAAAGAAATGGAATTCATCATTGAGAAATAGTGAAACAGATTAATAGCAAGGTTGTAAGGTTAGAAGTACTTAACTCTACATTACAAAAGACATAAGAAAAGTGGAAACAAAGAAATTCTGGCACTATGCCTGTCATACGACAGCGAATAAATGATTTGCACCTCTGTGAGAAGTTCACAGGCATTATAGCCTAGAAGTTAAATAGCACCTATCTGTGATAGATAGATAGAGATATCTCGACATATCTACCTACCTATTTATAATCCTAGATTTAACTTCTGATGTACTGGAATTTTCACCAGTACAACTGAAGTATTTCAAACTACAAAATATCAAATGGACAATGAATTAAAAAGATGTCCTAATCTACACTTGGAAGACACGACTTAGGAAAAGCATTACAGAAAGTATCACAAAAAAATGTGCCTGGTGGCTCACAGCATTGCATGTACACCCCATTGATTAAAGACTTGCACATCAATACATCACTGACATTCTCAAAGTTATTTTGCAGCAAGTTGAAATGTCACATCCTCCTTTTTGGTATCAATGTGGACATGAGCAGTGACCAGATCCAACCACCACCACCTACAAGCAAGAGCTCAGTTAGACCCCATCCGTCCATATGCTGAACAAGTGAAAATTAAAGGTAGGTATAAGAAAGCAGCTATATTACAAAAGGGCCTCGAAGCACTGTTATGCTAACACATTCTGGGGCCTAATTACAACCAACATGGCCATAAAGATCACACATTGGATGTTGTTCTGGTAAAGGTGGGAAACAAACTCGCTCTGCTGTGAGAAAGTCAGTAAGTCATGAAGAAACGAAAACGGAAAGTCTTCTCTCCCCCATCGCCAATCAATCAGGACATGTGTCATGCTGATGGGTCATGGCAATGCTGCAACCTTCTGTTTTTCAGGAAGATGAGGAACAAATAGCCTGCATTAACCAAATAGTCTTTTCTCAGCATTTCATCTGACCTTCTGCCACAGAAGAGTATACTCACACAGGCTCTACTCACCAACTACATACTGCAGGCTGTAAACAGAAGCAGAAGAGAGACGACCAATCTTATTTACAAAGTACTGAAATTCCTCACATTTTACCCTAAAGGATTCATTGATTGACAGGCAATTATTAGCATGCCAGTTGCCAGATATCAAGTAGTACTGCACAGCACATCAGAGGCCTAAAAGGTTTCTGCCTGGTAACATGGAATTGTCTTTGCTTGTACTTCAAGTGATTTTTACTTAGATTCAGACTTGGGTGATCTTTCAAATATAATGAAGCCAACTACATACACACAAATCAACAGACAAGTACAAAAGGATGTTTACCTATGGATTGCCTGAGCACATACTAAAATGATATCCTCGGTGGAGTAGGCAGGAATTAAGCATGCGCTTCAATTCTTTTCTGAGTTTAGTGTTTTAAGAAGAGAAACGAACACTGGTTGATGACAGTGGCAAATACTGAGAATGCACTTTACCACAGTATGCTAGATTAGCCCATCAGCGCCAAAATACCTGGAGTGGGTCTTAGTGCCACTGAGCTACTTTACTCTCTAGACAGAGGAAAGGTGCTGCAGTAAGGAAGGTGACAGAAAAAGTAAACCTTGATTGAAACTTAACTTGAAAAAAAAATCTGTGAAACAACAATAGTGTTTTACATGGCCACAGGACATGAAACTATGGGTTATTCTCCCAGCTTTACACGTCTCATATCATTTCTCATCAACATACACATGCCACATGCTGAGTAAAATGAAGCCAGCAGTTAAAAGCAAATACTGAACAGCTACACCTCCATGAAAACACGTATCACAGTTGCCTGCTGCAATGGCATGGTGGGAATGCACCGGAGCAGTGGCAAGCCATGGGTGCCCAGTTGGAGAGGGGGAGGCTGTGCTCTGCGCTTGGCTGGCTGGCTGTGACCCATCCCACCAGCAGGATCTGCTTTACTCTAGGCTCTTGCCATGCACAGATGTTAACCTATAGGGATTGTTGCTGAGGTTGGTGCCTATGGAGACTTGAGTTGGCTGAGATACGCTGCTTTAAAACATGTCCAGTACCAGGGAAAAAACAGTTCAAATCAGTCGATGAAGAAAGTCCCTCCCAGAGGCCAATTCAAATCACAGGTGAACTGAACTGCCTGCTGCCTCTGTTGGCTACATAGACAGTATAACATGACCTGAAATCCCTAGTTAGAGACTTTAACCTAACATGGGAGGGCTCCCCTCTTTGTCAGGAAGATAAACGGAACTCAATGTAGCCTGAAGATACTCCTCTACACCTTTTCTCCTGGAACTGCTGAGTAACAAACTCAAGACATTTAGTGTTCTGCATCTGCTTCAAAAGAAACAGTTCCCATCCCTGTACACTGTGTTTTAACAGTAAGGAAGGGTACAGTAGTGATAAGATGCTCCTGGGCATGTTCCTCCTCTGTGGAGTACCAAGTAGTGAAAATGACTCAATTATGGAAACTGAGAGGAAACATCAACCACTACTGAAGGTGACCGAAATTCTGCTGGAAAATTTCATGTACAGCTACAGTGCTCACTCTAATTCAGTTGTTAAGGGTTATATTGTTCTCAAGGTTTATAGATTTATTATTAGAAATTAAAATGTCTTAAGAGCCAGAAAAGTGCCTTTTTCAATACTTGGAACATTGCAGGGCTTATTCTCTCTGCAGTCAGAGGAAGCTTGTGACATTCACATCCCGGTTACTCTGCTTTAAGGACAGATGAATGTTTTCTAAACTCCAGGCTGATAGATGAAACCCAAGCTGTTGCCCCTTTGTCCTTTGCATTACTGAGCGTATCACTTATGAAGGCTCTTTAATACGAGAGTATATGACAGAGCTGCTGTGACCACACAGTTAAGTCTAGCTTAATTTTCCATAGCCATAGTGGTTGCATATCTCTAACTGCCACTTAAAAGTTTTGTTCAGAGAAAAACACACAATACAAAATGACATGGGGGACAGATAGCACCAGATGAAGTGGCAGGAGTTTTCATATGCACTTCACTGATGACTGAAGTACCTTAAATTGGAGAAGAGTTTAATAAGGGTTTTCATCCCTTCTCTCCCCGGCTGTGAACCAGGCCTAGTCACGCTGCTGAGCTAAAAGAGATAGAGGATGGAGATTCTGCTCTGCTCTCCCTTAATGCAAGAACAAACCCCCACTGACTCCCATGAAAGCTCGCAGGGGACCAGTTCACCAGGCTGCACTCCTCTTCCTCCTTAAACAAAACAAGCTGGAGTGCTGGATACAGTTTGTTAGAATTAAAGATGCTGAAAAGTAGTTATACATCAACCATAACTATGTACAAACATCTCTGAATGCAGTACTAAAGAATTTGTGGAGGAACAGGAAGAAAAAACAACTCCAGAAGAGATCCGATGTCACACATAACCAATAACTGCCTGGCTTGAAGAGGAACATGACAGGTTGATG